GTTCTCAAGGAATCCCTTCGTCATGTTCTCTTCGAGAAGAGAGGTCTGCCAGCAACAAGTCAGCAGAAGGTGCATCAACAACAATATCGTCCTCCTCCTCTTCCATATCCTCCTCCTCTTCCATCTCCTCCTCCTCCTCTTCCATCTCCTTCTCCTCCTCCTTTGCTCACTCTCCACCTTGAACGCGTTTCTATCTCCTACATCTTCCTCCACCTCCACCTGCCACCTCCTCCACCTGCCTCCTCCACCTCCCGCCTCCACCTCCCCATCCTCCACCTCTCGCCTCCCTCCCACTCCTCTCACCTTGAGCTCCTCCTCTCTACCCTCCGCCTTCATCTTCTCCTCCAGTCCGGGGATCCTGACCCTGTACCCGAACTCCAGCTCTCCGCGCGAGTTCTTGAGCTGAGGATACATCTTGATGACCGACTCCACAAACTTGTCCTTGGACTCGAAGAGTGACTTGGCCATGCCCTTGTCCAGGGTCGACTGCGCTATGGTCAGAGAGGAGAAGATGAGGAGAGAGGAGGAGAGGGAAGGAGAAGAGCCATGAGGAGAACATGGGTAGAGAGGAGGAGGAGAGCGGGGAGGAGCGGGTGCGGGAGAGAGAGCGGAGGAAGAAACAGTTGCAGTTGCAAGGTTCAACAAGATCAACAAACCAATGAGGGAGCGAGCAAGGGGAGGAAGGAGCGGCGGCAGCAGGAGCGAGCAAGAGGGGAGGACTGCTGGCATGTGCATGGGCTCACCTTGTACTGGTCCTTGAGGAAGAGCGAGTTGTCCCTCCAGGCCTCCACCAGAGACTTAGAGCGGGCGTCTCCCTTGAGGGTGCCGGCAGGGTACCAGATGCCGGCCCTCTTGCTGCGGACGAAGACGTTGAAGACAGGAAGGCCATCGCTGTCGTCTCCCATCATCTGCTGCCTCACCTGCTCCATCTGAGCACGTTTCTGCATCTCTCCCCTCATGTTGATAGGAACTCCCTTGCCCTTGGCCATGTACAGACCGCCGCAAACGGACCTGGAGGGCGAGGAGGAGAAGGAGGGGAGGGAGGAGGAGATGGCGGCATTAGAGAGGGAGGAGGAGGAGATGGGGGAGAGGGGGGAGGGAGCCAGGAACGCTCCTGCGCTCCCGACGCTGACAAGCAGGAGAAGGGAGGAGGCCATAACGCGCTGTACGACTGGAACAAGGAAGGGGGGAACATATAAAGGGGGTGGGGTCCTAATACATTTTGTAGGGGTAGGGTGATGTGAATAATAGGGGTGGGGGTATTATCTGGGTTGTATTCTGACTTGGTTTTACAGAGCAAACAAAGGGAGGTAGAGCAAATTGGTAGGTAGGGGTACACAATACAGGGGTGCATGTTTCTGGAAAGGGTGGGGGTACTGGGCTTCCAGAGCATCCGCTTTATGACGGGGCGAACTTTTAAAACCTGGTATGTAAATTTAGTCAATTAAAAATTTACAATATCATATATAATATCATCCTTGCTGACTCAATAGCAACATTGAAAACTAGTTTTTGCTGTTATACCAGAAAGGCAAAATAAAATCATTTATTATTAAAGATGGGAATAATTTTCTTTAATATACAATGTATATCGATACTAGGTGGTGGTTTACTATAGAAGTATTAAATATGATGTAGTGCAAGTTTTAGTTACTCTACGAAAACAATGCCGAGGATCTTGATGCTGGGAACATGGGAGGACGAGGACGAGGACGAGGACGAGGACGAGGACGAGGACGAGAGAAAAAGGAATATCAGGCAGCAGGCAGGCGGTTGCGGGACAGGAGGATGGGTTTGAGAAAGAAGCAGGCGAGCGAGAAAAGAGGATCTTCAGAAAAGCAGAGACCTCAGCCAAGATGTAGACGAAAGTTGGAGCAAACTCTGCAGGTGATGGAGTGGTAGATCGGTCAAGTGATCAGGATGTGTATAGGTGAGGGTCGATGAGATGGAAGTTTCAAGTTGGTTGATCAGAAGCATTGGACGGTTTCATTCTTGCCTCGTCCTTTTTGTGTCCTTTTTCCTCCTGATTGTCATGTCAGGCAAGCACGATGCTGGCTGCCAATGCGAGGGGGTGGGCCCGTCTCGTCCTCTCTCGCCGTCCCTGCTCTTCCTCGTTCAGCGCCCACTATCTGCCGGGCATGCTCCGGAGCCTGTCCTACTCTAGGTTGCATCCGATCATGCCGGCCTCCTCGAGCCTGTGGGGCCTGAGGAGCAGAACGACAGTGGGCAGCATGGCGATGCTGATAGGAGGAGCAGGAGCAGGAGCAGGAGCAGGAGCAGGAGCAGGAGGGCAGGCCCTTGCGCATGTTCGTTGGATGTCCAAGAAGGCAAGCAAGGGTAGGGCAGACTACACGAAGAAGAACCCGACTATGCACATTCCCGTCGGTGTGAAGACATGCATCTATGAGTAAGAAGATGCTGCGATAACGATGATGAGGAGAATGAGGATTGAGATGATGATGATGGAGAGGAGGAGGAAGAGCACGACGAAGAGGAGGATGATCAAGATGATGATGAGAATGATATGATGATGATGATGATGGAGAGGAGGATGATGATGATGGAGAGGAGGAGGAGGAGGAGGAGGATGGAGATGATGATCATGGAGAGAATGATGATGTGGATGATGATGATGATGATGATGATGATGATGATAAAAATATTGAGCCCTGATGTTTACGCAGGCAGCCTCGCACATTGTTCTTTGCTGCTCTCTCCACAGTCGGACTTGGACAGATTGGACTGTGGGGGAGGTGAGGAGAACCCGGGGGGGGGGGAGGCGGCAGGAAGGAGGAGGGTGAAAGGATGGAGAATGGAGGAGGGAGGGAAAGAGGAGGGAGAAAGGGAAAGTGGAGGGGAAAAGCAAGGAAGTTTCGATGACTGAGATTTGTCACAGCATTTCAATAATCAACTTGCTCAATATGGATGTCAATGTCTTAGGGGCAAGTTTGTTGATGAGTAAATGGTGGATTCTGTTGGGAGGAGGGATTTCAATAGGTGAGAAATGTTCTGTTCACGATGATGCTTGTGAAAGAATGTGAGAATTTCGAGCTATCAACATCTGATAGATCAATGTTTAAGATGTTGTGTGACATGTTCCGAACATGTAACGTATCAACATGCATTCTTGGACATGTTATGTATCAACTTGCATGTCAACATCGCTCTTGTTGCTTTTGTCTCGTTCCGTTCTCTCGCTAACAGCAGCTCCAGTCTTCACGTGGATGGTGAAATGGCACGCGGATCATCACATCGTGAAGATTGAGGTGAGAAAGGCGGAAGTTCTAGGCGAAGACAAGAGCAGGGAAGCAGGTGGATCGCAGGAGCAGGAGCGCGGGAGTAGGAGGGGAGCTAGGACAGCAGCAGCAGCAAGGCAAGCGCTTCTCTAAAGGTTTGCAGGTCATTCCCCGCGACATCGATGAGATTTTCATCACATCACATACATTCTTAGGCGAGCAGCTTCGTACTTCTCTCCTCTCCTCTCCCCTCTCCCCTCTCCTCTCCTCTCTTCTCCCCTCTCCCCTCCCCTCTCCTCTCCTCTCTTCTCTCCTCTCTCCTCTCTTCTCCTCTCTTCTCCTCTCTTCTCCCTCTATCATCTCCTCTCCTGTCCTCTCTCTCTCCTCTCCTCTCCTCTCCTCCCCTCTCCTCTCCTCTCTCATCTCCTCTCCTCTCCTCTCCTCTCCTCTCCTCCTTCTCGTCTCTTTCTCTGTTCCTCATCGTTGGCTTTGCAGGAGGAACGACAACCAAGAGCATCACCAGCTACGACATCCAACCTCTCAACTTTGCTGCCCAGCAGGTCCGAATCCTCCTTCCTCGCTCACTCACTTCACTTCCTCCGCTGCATCGTCCCCCCACTCCTTCCTCTTCTCTGCCCCTCCTTCCCCTCAATCTCTCCACCGCCGCCGCCTCCCTCTCCTCCCCCCTCTCCTCCTCCCTCTCCTCCTCCTCGTCCTTCTCACTTCCTCATCAGATCAACTCTACGGTGCGAGGGCTGAAGCTTCGGGCGATCAGTTCAACTACATCATAGAGGAGGACGGCATGATCCATCATCCTGTTGTCCTCACCAGGATAGCCCGAGGCCTCCCTGCTAATGAACGACCCTGATCTTTCCGCTCCTCCCCCCAACCGACTTTCCTCCTCCTCCTCCTCCCCTCCCTGGTTCCCGAGGAGCCTCCTGCGGCTCCTCCTGCGGCTCCTCGTCGCAACCTCCTGCGGCTCCTCGTCGCAACCTCCTGAGGAACTTCCTGCGGCTCCTCGTCGCACGGCAGCATCGGACGGTACGGTCGCTCGCCGACCCATTTCCAAACATGCCGGGGTTTACCTGCCGGCCGCCCCAGTCTCAGTGTCACGCGGCCATCCGATCGGCGGGCCCCGGGCAGGGGAGTGGGGGTGGCCCCTCATTGCTGATGAGTCATAGGTGGGGTCACCCTGCTAGGAATGATTCTCCGGAATGACCCCCACCCCCTACTTTAACTCTAACTACCCCTTCGAATCCCTATTGATAGACCCCCTCATACACCAGTCTCCTGTTCCTCTCTCCGTTCCTCTCTGTTCCTCTCTCTGTTCCTCTCTCTGCTCCTCTCTCTGTTCCTCTCGCCTCCCTCCCGCTCTCATCCTCTCGTCTTGTCTTGATCTCTTCCTCTCGTCTTGTCTTGATCTCTTCCTCTCGTCTTGTCTTGATCTCTTCCTCTCGTCTTGTCTTGATCTCTTCCTCTCGTCTTGTCTTGATCTCTTCCTCTCGTCTTGTCTTGATCTCTTCCTCTCGTCTTGTCTTGATCTCTTCCTCTCGTCTTGTCTTGATCTCTTCCTCTCGTCTTGTTTTGATCTCTTCCTCTCGTCTTGTCTTGATCTCTTCCTCTCGTCTTGTCTTGATCTCTTCCTCTCGTCTTGTCTTGATCTCTTCCTCTCGTCTTGTCTTGATCTCTTCCTCTCGTCTTGTCTTGATCTCTTCCTCTCGTCTTGTCTTGCTCTCTCTAGCTAGTCTTCCCAATCTTCTCCCTCCTCCTCTTTCCCCTTCATCCTCCGCTTCTCTAGTATGTATATATTTGATTGGCGCTCGTGAGAGCCGCTGCCCATGCTCAGAGGTCATCGCGGCAGGAGCTCATGGCAATTTTGACGCACTAGCGCCTTCCCTCCTCTTCCTCCCCCATGACCTGACAGACCATGACAAGTACGCTCAGCAAGATCTGCGTCTGCTGCAAGGACCAGCAGCTCGACCATGTAGCAGACGATACCAACGACCCTCTCTTCTCATCCGACCTCCCTCACAAGGTCCTCTTCTTCGCCGACGCGAAGGAGCGCAGCGACTTGGATGTTGAGGAGATCAGAGAGGAGTTTATGAAAGGAGCTCGCCTCAAAGGAGACGCGGCGTTCATCAAGTTTGCTGAGAGCATGAGCTTTGAGTCGAGCTTCTACCGGGACTTCGGAGACCTCATGTGTGAGATTGACGATCATCAGCCCGTCATCCTCCACCTGGCCTGCCATGGCACCGAGAGCGGCAACATCGAGATAGGAGGCAAGAGCATCTCCGCTGAGCAGCTTGCAAGGTCTCTGAGTCACGTGGTCAAGGGGAGCAAGAAGCTGCGTCTGGTGGTGCTCAACTTGTGCTGGTCGGGCGTCGTAGCGCAGGAGCTGATCAAGCATGTGGACTTTGTGATCGGGCACGAGGCAGCAGTAGCAGACGAGGACGCGATCAAGTTCGCCAAGAAGCTGTACTACTGGATGGGTCGGAACCTCTCGCTGCATGCGAATGTCAAGGACTTGTCTCGGTTTGCATGCCCTGGGAGTCACCTGCTGGCTCGGGTGTCAAGCGATGTGATCACATGGAGCAGACGGCAAGACACTCACGATCGACCACCAGGAGACGAAGGTCCTCAGCGAAAGAAAGTAAAGACAGAAGGATTTGAACGTCATGATGAAGATCAAGACGGTGACAAAATCGATACAGCAGCTTGCGAGGCTGGTAGGAATGCTGTAGCACCAACAGAGGCAAGTATGGCGAAGCTGGGAGCTGAATCAGGAGGTGTTGGATTGGCTCAGAAGAAGGAGCTTCACGCAAACAAGTCAGACTCGGGTGCTGCAGGTGTTGAAGAATCGAAAAGCTCAAAAAGGAAATCCAGCCATGTGTCGCCATCCAACCAGACCTCGAGCAGCTCCATGGCAAAACAGCACATGATAGACCAACTGGAGCAAGCGAGCAGCGCAGAGGAGATCGTGAGAATCTTGAAGGAGCTGCAAAGACCTGGAAACAAGGGCGAGATGAAACGAAGAGGAATAGAGCTTGTCATAAGAGCAATGGGAAAGAAGATTGTGAAGGCACATCAATTGAGAAAGGATGTACAGATGTACGCATGCGAAATACTGGGAGACCTGGCAGAGTCCAACGACAAATCAAGAGTCGAAATTGAAAAGCACAAAGGGATCGAGGCCGTGCTCGCAGCCATGCGTGCACATCCTGCCAGCCAGCCCCTACAGCAGCAGGCGTGCGGGGCGCTGATGAACCTGGCTGCCAACGCCGACAACCGTGTCAAGATTGCGGGGCTCGGGGGCATCGAGGCCGTGCTCGCAGCCATGCGTGCACATCCCGCCAGCCAGCCCCTACAGCAGCAGGCGTGCGGGGCGCTATGGAACCTGGCTGCCAACGCCGACAACTCTGTCAAGATCGCGGGGCTCGGGGGCATCGAGGCCGTGCTCGCAGCCATGCGTGCACATCCCGCCAGCCAGGATGTACAGGATGAGGCATGCGGGGCGCTATGGAACCTGGCTGTCAACGCCGACAACCGTGTCAAGATCGCAGGGCTCGGGGGCATCGAGGCCGTGCTCGCAGCCATGCGCAAGCATCCCGCCAGCCAGCCCCTACAGCAGCACGCGTGCGGGGCGCTGGGGAGCCTGGCTGTCAACGCCGACAACAAGGTCAAGATCGCGGGGCTCGGGGGCATCGAGGCCGTGCTCGCAGCCATGCGTGCACATCCTGCCAGCCAGTCCGTACAGGAGCAGGCGTGCGGGGCGCTAGCTAATCTGGCTGCCAACGCCGACAACCGTGTCAAGATCGCGGGGCTCGGGGGCATCGAGGCCGTGCTCAGCAGCCATGCGCGCACATCCTGCCAGCCAGTTCGTACAGGATGAGGCATGCGGGGCGCTATGGAGCCTGGCTGTCAACGACAACAACCAGGTCAAGATCGCGGGGCTCGGGGGCATCGAGGCCGTGCTTGCAGCCATGCGTGCACATCCCGCCAGCCAGGATGTACAGCAGCACGCGTGCGGGGCGCTGATGATCCTTGCTGCCAACGACGACAACTCTGTCAAGATCGCGGGGCTCGGGGGCATCGAGGCCGTGCTCGCAGCCATGCAAGCACATCCCGCCAGCCAGGATGTACAGGAGCAGGCGTGCGGGGCGCTATGGAACCTGGCTGCCAACGCCGACAACCGTGTCAAGATTGCGGGGCTCGGGGGCAGCGAGGCCGTGCTCGCAGCCATGCGTGCACATCCCGCCAGCCAGCTCGTACATCAGCAGGCGTGCGGGGCGCTATGGAACCTGGCTGCCAACGACGACAACAAGGTCAAGATCGCGGGGCTCGGGGGCATCGAGGCCGTGCTCGCAGCCATGCGCAAGCATCCCGCCAGCCAGTCCGTACAGGAGCACTCGTGCGGGGCGCTGATGAGCCTGACTCGCAACGACAACAACAAGGTCAAGATCGCAGGGCTCGGGGGCATCGAGGCCGTGCTCGCAGCCATGCAAGCACATCCCGCCAGCCAGCTTGCACAGCAGCAGGCGTGCGGGGCGCTAGCTAATCTGGCTGCCAACGCCGACAACCGTGCCAAGATCGCGGGGCTCGGGGGCATCGAGGCCGTGCTCGCAGCCATGCGTGCACATCCCGCCAGCCTATCCGTACATCAGCAGGCGTGCGGGGCGCTATGGAGCTTTGCTGCCAACGCCGACAACCGTGCCAAGATCGCAGGGCTCGGGGGCATCGAGGCCGTGCTCGCAGCCATGCGCAAGCATCCCGCCAGCCAGCTTGTACAGCAGCAGGCGTGCGGGGCGCTATGGAACCTTGCTATCCACGACGATAACCGTGTCAAGATCGCGGGGCTCGGGGGCATCGAGGCCGTGCTCGCAGCCATGCGTGCACATCCCGCCAGCCAAGATGTACAGGATGAGGCATGCGGGGCGCTGATGAGCCTGGTTTGCATCTCCGACAACAAGGTCAAGATCGCGGGGCTCGGGGGCATCGAGGCCGTGCTCGCAGCCATGCGTGCACATCCCGCCAGCCAGGATGTACAGGAGCAGGCGTGCGGGGCGCTAGCTAATCTGGCTGCCAACGCCGACAACCGTGTCAAGATCGCGGGGCTCGGGGGCATCGAGGCCGTGCTCGCAGCCATGCGCGCACATCCTGCCAGCCAGTTCGTACAGGATGAGGCATGCGGGGCGCTATGGAGCCTGGCTGTCAACGACAACAACCAGGTCAAGATCGCGGGGCTCGGGGGCATCGAGGCCGTGCTTGCAGCCATGCGTGCACATCCCGCCAGCCAGGATGTACAGCAGCACGCGTGCGGGGCGCTGATGATCCTTGCTGCCAACGACGACAACTCTGTCAAGATCGCGGGGCTCGGGGGCATCGAGGCCGTGCTCGCAGCCATGCAAGCACATCCCGCCAGCCAGGATGTACAGGAGCAGGCGTGCGGGGCGCTATGGAACCTTGCTGCCAACGCTGTCATCGTTGTCAAGATCGCGGGGCTCGGGGGCATCGAGGCCGTGCTCGCAGCCATGCGCGCACATCCCGCCAGCCAGCTCGTACATCAGCAGGCGTGCGGGGCGCTGTTGAGGCTGGCTGCCCACGCCTACAACAACGTCAAGATCGCGGGGCTCGGGGGCATCGAGGCCGTGCTCGCAGCCATGCGCAAGCATCCCGCCAGCCAGGATGTACAGGATGAGGCGTGCGGGGCGCTACGGAACCTGGCTGCCAACGCCGACAACTCTGTCAAGATCGCGGGGCTCGGGGGCATCGAGGCCGTGCTCGCAGCCATGCGCAAGCATCCCGCCAGCCAGGATGTACAGGAGCAGGCGTGCGGGGCGCTGATGATCCTTGCTATCAACGCCGACAACTCTGTCAAGATCGCAGGGCTCGGGGGCATCGAGGCCGTGCTCGCAGCCATGCAAGCACATCCCGCCAGCCAGCTTGTACAGCAGCACGCGTGCGGCGCGGTATTGAGCCTGGCTGCCAACGCCGACATCTCGGCCAAGATCGCGGGGCTCGGGGGCATCGAGGCCGTGCTCGCAGCCATGCGCAAGCATCCCGCCAGCCAGTCCGTACAGGAGCAGGCGTGCGGGGCGCTATGGAGCCTGGATGTCAACGCCGACAACATGGTCGAGGCCGTGCTCGCAGCCATGCGCAAGCATCCTGACAGCCAGCTTGTACAGCAGCAGGCGTGCGGGGCGCTAGCTAATCTGGCTGCCAACGCCGACAACCGTGTCAAGATCGCGGGGCTCGGGGGCATCGAGGCCGTGCTCGCAGCCATGAGTGCACATCCCGCCAGCCAGCTTGTACAGCAGCAGGCGTGCGGGGCGCTGATGAGCCTGGCTGCCAACGCCGACAACCGTGCCAAGATCGCGGGGCTCGGGGGCAGCGAGGCAGTGCTCGCAGCCATGAGTGCACATCCCGCCAGCCAGCTTGTACAGGAGCTCGCGTGCGGGGCGCTGTTGAGCCTGGCTGCCAACGCCGACATCTCGGCCAAAATCGCGGGGCTCGGGGGCATCGAGGCCGTGCTCGCAGCCATGCAAGCACATCCCGCCAGCATGTTCGTGAAGGGCATCGAGGCCGTGCTCGCAGCCATGCGCAAGCATCCCGCCAGCCAGTCCGTACAGCAGCACGCGTGCAGGGCGCTGTTGTGGCTTGCTGTCAACGCCGACAACTCTGTCAAGATCGCGGGGCTCGGGGGCATCGAGGCCGTGCTCGCAGCCATGCGTGCACATCCCGCCAGCCAGCTCGTACAGCAGCAGGCGTGCGGGGCGCTGATGAGGCTTGCTTTCATCGACGACAACTCTGTCAAGATCGCGGGGCTCGGGGGCATCGAGGCCGTGCTCGCAGCCATGCGCAAGCATCCCTCCAGCCAGTCCGTACAGGAGCAGGCGTGCGGGGCGCTGATGAGGCTTGCTGCCAACGCCGACAACCAGGTCAAGATCGCAGGGCTCGGGGGCATCGAGGCCGTGCTCGCAGCCTTGCAAGCACATCCCGCCAGCCAGCTTGTACAGGAGCTCGCGTGCGGGGCGCTTTTAAGGCTTGCTGCCAACGCCGACAACTCTGTCAAGATCGCGGGGCTCGGGGGCATCGAGGCCGTGCTCGCAGCCATGCGTGCACATCCCGCCAGCCAGCCCCTACAGCAGCAGGCGTGCGGGGCGCTGATGAGGCTTGCTGCCAACGACGACAACAAGGTCAAGATCGCGGGGCTCGGGGGCATCGAGGCCGTGCTCGCAGCCATGAAGGCTTTCTTGTCCAGCGAGGATTTGCTACAAGCGGCTTTAAATCTTCTTGCTTGTTTCAGTTCAAAAGAAAGCAAGGTGATTGTTTTTCTTAGTATTTTATAACTCATGTCTTGTTATTTGCAGAGTCTGATGAGAAAGCTTGGTGCAGGAGACCTTGTCTCCTCTGCAATGAAAAGGTTTGAGCAGAATGCAATCATACAAGACAATGGAAAGATTGTTCTCGAATGGCTGCAATAAAGCGCTGCAATGGTGTACTCCAGTTGTTGTCTGACTACCCATCTATGTTACGTAGCAGACAACATCTAGTACATCCATAGATCTCAGTAGATCGCTAGTCCCGTCTGTTTGTTACCACAGCATACCAACAGCTAGACGAATTGATAGAATCTCAAGGTGACGAAGTTTGAACAGAATCATTGAAACTCATGTCTTTGCGATCCTTTCCTGCCACTTCATGTATGATCTGTAACATAGCTTCTGAGAAAAGCTCCCAGTCCTCGCTCGGTGACGGTTTTTGTTACACACAACAAACTCACATCAACACATTAAACATCCAACAAACATCTCTCATCTCCTGTAAACGCTCTCAAGCATCCCTCGCTGCACTCACAACAGTACCTTACTCACTGAGTCTGAGATCATCCTATCTTGCATCATACGACATCTCCACTCACATCAGCACTGCAATGATCCTACAAGCTCATCTCACAACCTATCGACACCTCTTCCAGCCTTTCATGCTACAAGCGCTTCACAAGCTTCACGCCAGCATCTCCCTTCCCTCCTGCTGCCTCGTTCGAGGAGAGGAGAGGAGAGGAGAGGAGAGGAGAGGAGAGGAGAGGAGAGAGATGCGGGACTTTGTGAAAGTCTTCTACGGTGAGTTATAGATCCGCCAGTTTGATGGGGAGGACAGTGCGGATGATCCAAGTGAAGGAGAGGAGAGGACGAGATGCGATGGAGATCAGCAAGAGAAGAAGGAGCCTTGTCCTCGTCCTCGCGACTATCTCGCGTCTTCATCGCATGTGATTGACCCTTGTCATGTCACTTCACGTGTCAAGGACAACAAGCAGCGACGAGGAGCGAAGAGAAGATGGAAAGATGATGATGATGATGATGACGACGATGACGATGACGATGATGATGATGAGGATGAGGATGAGGATGAGGATGAGGATGAGGATGAGGATGAGGATGAGGATGAGGATGAGGATGAGGATGAGGATGAGGATGATGATGATGATTGCTAGTGGCAAGAAGGATGAGGCCGAGGACGCGGTGGACGAGAAAATCTCAAGAAAGGGGAAGGTTGCGCAGGATGTTCTGAAAGATTAGCAGCAGCAGTAGCAGCAGCAGCAGCAGCATTGTTCGGGATATTTACACTCTATAGCATCAGATGTTGTTGACTTGTAGATTTCATCTGCAATGTTGAGATCGCAGGTCAGCAATCTGAATGACAAGTCAGATTGCGGTCAGAAAAGCTGAAAAGAATTCAAAGACTCCTGCTGCTGCTTCGAGGCAAGTAACGGGT